TGGTGATGTTGTTGCTCAAAACTTTTTTTTTTTCATTTTAATAATGTCAGATGACCAGCATATATTCTTTTGTTTCTCTTATCGATGAGCTAATGCCCTCTAGTGGTGTCTTTTGTCAGAAATCTAATGATGCCTACAATGTCAGATGCTGTTAAAGATAAGTGCCAGTGAAACACGTGACTTGGAAAATCGAAACTCTGGTGTAGGGTGTTTCAAGTTAAGGATATGATTCAACTTTATAAGAGGTGACAAGCATATTACAAAAGTAATTTGAGCTTCTTAATTATCGAATAAATATCTGTGGGTCTGAAAAAGTTGTTTGTTGTTCTGTCTGACCACTGAGAGAAACGTTGTAATAATATTCAACCAATCAGAAAAATAAAATATTGTTGCAATTCCTACTATGTTAAATGCATAGAAAGGTCATACTAAAGTTTTCCCGATCTTACGAATCAACCTACTAAAATAATATATTTTCATTTCTTCTTAAAAACTAGGAGCATTTATTATCCCTGCGTTCAAGGACAGTAGACGTAGATGCGAAATATTCTACAAAGACCTGTTTCTCAGTGACTCTTTTCTCATAGAAGTACAGATAGTGAGGCATATTGTGACCAAATCTACTTAAAATACATCGAGATGATTACATGTAAACTTCCTCGCTTCGTAAAGTAGTATAGGGTGCGTGTAATAATAAGTTTTGTTGCGCAATATCCTTATAACGGATTAAACTCTTTACATCTGAAAATTCTAAAAACTCTGTTCAAACAGATGCGAATATTTGCTGTATTCGAATAACAATCGTGAAAGGCACAACAAAGATCATTGGCTTACTTTTCTTACATCATTATCCATATGCCTATACCAATTCCTTACTCTATCGTATCCTGTAAGATCTGCAGAATGTCCTTTAGGGGACCTTCATAAAATTGAATCTACATTTTACAGTGTATATATAAGAACTTAAAAAAATAAAATAACTTAATGCATTTTGACTGTGTAATAAAACTAAATTGATTCGATTTTTCTCCAACTGAGTATTCATTAAAAGAGGAACAAACTAAAAAAAAAAGAAAGAAATCTAGATCACACATTTACCTTTAGTAGCAAGCCAAATATATTTAGATTTTTGTTTACAATTATTTTATCTAGAATATTAATTGTTACCATGGAAATCCACTGACGATTTAACATGAAGTGATATTTTGCTAAAAATATTCTTAAAGTTTTTATAAATTTAGTTTTTCCTATTCTTTATTTTGAATACTAACGGCTAAAAAGAATCTAATTTACATTCAACATTGTTTCTTTATGTAATAACGCATTAAAACACTCGTCCCTCCCTTGATATATAAAGTCCAACTATTTTAAAAGTAAGCACCACAAGATTAAAAGAAATCTTGGCTTTACTTGAAGTGTCAATTATGAACGACTGAAAGTTCTCTCTATTCTGCTACCGTGAAGCAAACCTATTAAATTGGATTTTTTTTTTCACCGCAGTATTCTTTTTTTTTTTTTTGGTCTTATAAATAATGAAAATATGATCTGACCGAAGTGTTGTACTATTTCCCACTTTTATATAAAATTTGATAATGCAGGAGTACAGCGGAATTGTTTATTTATTTATTACAAATTTGCTTAGAGTTCATAAAAGACATTCAAGTGCACCATTTCTTATGCTAATATTTTATAAAATTATCTACATCTATCTTCAACCATTAAGCGGAATTATCCTTTCACTGAGTGCTTTCTCAGTAGTGCCTTCTTTGTTATCAAAATAAATTAAACCAACTAGTATAAAATACCCGCCCTTATACGGGGTTAAAATACCTTCCTTGTGATTTACAGAAGCCTCAATGTGCCAATCACGCTCCTCTGTTTTTCCCAATATTTTACCTTATACGGGGTTAAAATACCTTCCTTATGATTTACAGAAGCCTCAATGTGTCAGTCACGCTCCTCTGTTTTTCCCAATATTTTACCTTATACGGGGTTAAAATACCTTCCTTATGATTTACAGAAGCCTCAATGTGCCAGTCACGCTCCTCTGTTTTTCCCAATATTTTACCTTATACGGGGTTAAAATAATTTCCTTATGATTTACAGAAGCCTCAATGTGCCAGTCACCCTCCTCTGTTTTTCCCAATATTTTATTTAGCTACCCTAAGAGGGTCAGTACCTGTAAAAACAACTCATTAGAACACCCGCTTCTAGTATTCGAGCATGTGTGCCATGTTTGGTCACGTTTGCTTTAATGGGAGTATGAACATAGTTTCAAATGTGGCCCAACCCCGAAGGGGTCAGGAACCCATTCTTAGGCCCCAATTATAGCTGGCCGTGCTTCTGAGCGCATTTTATCTGGTATTTGATAGAGGGGTTATGTCTTATAGATAAGGCCACCGGACCGCCCAGAGTCCGTTTGCCAAGTTTAATCCAGATAGATCCAGAACTGTGGAAGAATATACATTCAAAGCTAAAAGATGAACTAGTATTAGGTCGTCAAGAAATTAATGTCGCTTTTTTTTAGATGAAAAAACCAGAACAACTTATATATCAAAATAAAACATTTATTAAATGAAATAGTCTCCATTCTTATTCATGATGCTTTTCCATCTTACAATCAGGTTGTTAATGTCCTGATTAAAGAAATCACTTGGCTTTGAATGTCCTCGTTCGGGACATCAAAGGAGTAATTCATTTCGAACTCCTCAATCCACAGCGAATTGTCAATGCAGAGATCTATGGTCAGCAACTGGAACGTTTAAATCAAGCCATTCATTTGTCAATCGGAAAGGTGTTCTTCTTCTCCACGACAATGCACGTCCACATGTGGCACGTTTGACGCAACATAAGATTATGGAGTTGAGTTGGGAAGTTCTCCCCCACCCACCATATTCACCACATATGGCACCATCAGATTACCATCTTTTTCGTTCGCTGCAACACCATCTTAATGGGAAAACGTATGCAAATGTGGAAGGTGTTCCAAATGCAAAGCATCATTTTCTGCGGATGGAGTCCAGGTTTTGGGGTCGGAAGTGGTTTTTGTTTAGGACTGAGCCATTGTTTTAGAGATTTAATATTCGCATGGAGAATCCATTTTTCATCACAGGAGACAATTCTATCCAAAAATGGTTCACGCGCATTACGCGTCAGAAGAGACGAAGCAACGTTCACACGTTGGAAATGATGATGATCATCGGATAGTTCGTGAGGCACCCAGACACTTTCTTTAAGGAGTTTTCACATATTCCTTAGATGTTTACGTATTGTTTCATGAAAGACGTGCACTTTCAGGGCCATTTCACGAGTGTGCTGCCTTGGGTTAGACTCAACAAGCGT